TGGCTGCAATGATGGGCTCAAGTATAGCAGGGATTGTGGGGCTGGCACGGGATTGGGTAGTGTTTCGTTCTGCTGTGCATGGGGTTGCTATGAGTCGGAAATGACTCGACGGCACTTAACAACAATAACAACAACATTCCTACCACTACTCATGTTCTGTGCACTTATTTTGTATAATCATGACTATTTCACATTTACAGAGATTATCCCCAGGAAAAAAGAATATGAAAAGAAGGTGGAAACTCAAACCAAGGTTTTTTTTATAATGAGTGTAGAGTTTATTCTTAGGGAAAGTTAAAATACATTAGAAATGGTGGAAATTAAAGCCAGTGAATTTTAAAATCTTATTTGGAAGTAAAACAAGAATGAAAACAATTTACTATGAGGAATTTGGGGAGCTAATGTGAATATTCAATTTATTCTTAAGCTGATTATAAGGTGACATATAAATTTTTTCCAGTATTTCCAGATGTCTCTCGCCTGCTTCCTTCCTTCCTTCATTATTTCCTCCTTATTGGTCTATCATATTGTGAAAATGAATCAAAATAATGAATGCAGATAACCTAGAAAAAGTTGTAGCATGTGTAAGTACTCAATAAATTTTGACTACTTCTAAACAGAAGCCTTGGTGACACTGTGATTAAAGTGCTAGGATGTTAACCAAAACGTCAGTGGTCGAACCCATCAGCAGTTCCTCTGAAGAAAAATGGGAAGCTTGCTTCCATAAAGATTTATAGCCTTGGAAGCCCTATGGGGCAGTTCTACTCTGTCCTATAAACCCACTGCCATAGAGTGGTTTCCAACTCATAGCAACCCCCATTGTGTTTCCAAGGCAATAAGTCTTTACTGAAGTAGATTGCCCCATCATCTTTCCATGGAGCAGCTGGTGGATTTGAACCACCAACCTTATGGATAGTAGTCAAATGCCTTAGGTACTGAACCACCAGAGCTCCTTTTACTCTGTCCTGTTGCCCCATCTTCCTTCTGTGGAGTGGCTGGTGGCTTTGAACCACCAACATTCTGGTTAACAGTCAAGTGCCTTAGGTACACCACCAGAGCTCCTTTTGGTTTTTGGTTTAGGCTTACTATAAGTTGGAATTGATTCAAAGGAGTAGGTTTGGTTTTGGTTACTTCTATTTATTTATGTATTTACTTTTTATTATGATTTAGGTGAAATTTTACAGAACAGGTTTGTTTTCTGTTCAACAGTACATACATCTTTCTTTTTTTCATGGCACTGATTACCACCCCTCCCCAATTTAACAGCTGTCTTCCCACTTCCTCCCTGTGCTTACTCTGTCCCTGTGTCCTTCTTACCCATGCATTCCTGCTGTCTGATCTTTCTCCCTGTGCAAAACTACCCTTCTGATCTCCCATGGTTGATTGTTCTAAGGAATGCATCTCCCTTGTGTAGTTGTTCACATCCCTATCTATTGTTTGACTGAGAGTTAAACCATGGGAATGAGTCCAATTCCATGCCTGAGGAGTCTATCTGACAAGTAATCTTGTTTTCTTGTTTTGTTTTGTTATGTTTTTTAAATTTTGTTACTCATTTTTCTCCCACTCTGTCCAGGATCTCCAATTTTGATCCCTTTCCAAGTTGTTGGCATTGGTACCTGGGTACCATCTTGTTTTGGTGGTTTTGGTTTCTAAACACTGTGAAAAGTGCACTCTACAATATAGTTGTAAGTACTTTTATAATATAAAATACTCATATCAAGAAACAAGAAATTACTTTTTAGCTGGGTCCTTCATCTGATCAAGATGACATTAGTGAAATTTAATGATGACAGTTTTAGTCCAATTTTTGAGCCAGAATGAGTAGAAGACATTTTTGCCTAGGTATAGACACCATTAATTCCTTTATTTCCTCACAGGTCATTCAGCCATTCATTCTGTGTTCCTTTTCATCACCATATCAAATGTTGAACTTCAATAATTAATGATTTTATATAATGAATTCCAAAGGTTCAAATAGAAAAAAAAAAAAAAAAAGCACGCTTTGAAACCTCATGTATGTCAAGAGTAGAAATGTGCTCCACAGGGTTTTCGATGTCTGATGTTTATTTTGGAAGTAGGTCACCAAGACTTTCTTCCAAGGTGTCTCTGGGAGGACTTGAACTTCCATCTTTTTAGTTAGAAATGGATTACATTAACCATTTGCACACCTGAAGACTTTTTAATATCTCAACCTAACAACAATTAAGTTGTTAGAAGTTCAACAGAAGCGTATATAAAAGACTTTTCTTAGACAATGGCCGAATATATGAGGAAACAAAGAATTGGTGACTTTCACCAAAGTGAAAAGATGGATTTCTCCCATCTTACCTCACTGTTGAGCGTAGGTACTGATAGCCTGAGGAACCACCAGTGCCAGCCTTGCTGCCCAGCATTCTGTGCACCATGCACACGTGGTTATCTAGGAAAACACACAGATTAATCCATGGGTAGTTTTCTACCATTAGTTCTGCAATGTTTTGAAAGCAAAGGGCTGGTAATCATTATTGCTTCTGAGCAGAGGCTGACACCTTATCAGGTAGCTATATGGAAGTTTCATCTGTGAGAGCCCAATGAAACTGTTAGGTTGCCTGGCAACTCACTTGGTTTAGGCTGCATGCATTTTACTCCACTGAACATTACATTTAGTTTGTGAACACAATAGGGTAAAGCAGGGCCATATATGATTTCCTGAGCCTTTGGCACTTTTTCTTAGTGAGTCAATTCCTCAGCAACAGCAACAACAACAAAAAATATTAAAAATTATCTTTTACCTGCATTGTCATAAAGGTGAGCATGTTAATATAGTAAGTCATTTTTTTATGTAAAAGTTAATTTTATTCTTCTGATAAAACATAGATCCTCAAACAGACTGTGGGCCCCAGGCACTGGGCCTACTCTCCTTACCAGATTAGTCTGCCCTGGGAGTGACAGGCTGGTATTAAAAAAAAAAAAAAAAAGTGGGAGCAACTCAACCACACACATAAGATAGGGAAAAAGAGAGAGAGAAAAGAGGACAGAAGAGGAAAAAACAAAACACAGGATGGTGGGCTAAGGAAGATAGGTGAGGGAGGGAAAGACTTACATCTCCATTTGGTCATAAGTGTGTCTATATCCATAAGAGAAGTCAGCAACTGAAAAGGGACCTGGAATCTAGGCTCTTCCCTGAAGAAAAAAAAAAAAAGAAGAAGAAGAAGAAGAAGAAAATAGATCTATTCAAACAAATAAGCAAATACAGTGTGTTAGAAAGAGCATAAATTTTATAATCAATCATCCCTGAAAAAAAATGTCAATATTGCCTCGTAGATGCTGTATAGTTTTGGATTACTCTCTCAGTCTCAGATTCTTCATCTCAAAAATGGGGATAATAGTACTCAGTTTGCAACATTTGTGTGAAAAGTCTAGGATATTCTATACAATATATATGAAATAACCAGCTAGAACATGCATAGTATAGATTATCACTAAAAAGGCAGAAGGAAGTTTTCACAAAAGTTTTCCCTGCTAGCAATAATCAGCAAGAGTCTTTTAGGTAAAGATATTCAGATAAGATGACAACAGCTTTTTTATTTTCTATACACACACATACATATATAACACATATGTTGGTGTTGTCATCGTTAGGTCCCATCGAGTCAAGTCCAACTCATAGTGACCCTATGTACAACAGAACAAAACACTGCTCCATCTTGCTCCAGCCTCACAATCCTTGCTATACGTGAGCCGACGGATGCAGCCACTGTGTTAATCCAGCTTGTTGAGGACTTTCCCCTTTTTCATTGATGCTCCACTTTACCAAGCATGATAGCCTTCTCCAGGGAATGGTCCCTCCTGACAACATGACCAAAGTAGGTGAGACGAAGTCTGGCCATTCTTGCCTCCAAGGAGCATTCCGGCTGCACTTCTTCCAGGACAGATTTGTTAGTTCTTTTCCAGTCCATGATACTTTCAGTATTCTTCGCCAACACCACAACTCAAAAGCAACAACTCTTCTTTGTTTTTTTTTTTTTTATTCATGATCCAGCTCTCACATTCATGTCAGAAAAATAGCATGGCTTGGATTAGCCAAACTTGTCTGCAAAGAGACATCTTTGCTCTTTAGCACTTTGAAGAGGTCTTTTGCAACAGATTTACCCAATGCACTATGTCATCTGATGTTTTGACTGCTGCTTCCATTAGTATTGATTGTGAATCCAGGTAATGTAGAATTGTTGACAACTTCAATATTTTCTCCATTTAACATGATGATGCTTAAGTCCAGTTGTGAGGATTTTTGGTTTCTTTATGTTGAAGTGTAATCCATATTCAGATGGTATTCTTTCATCTTCATCATCAAATGCTTCAAGTCATCCTCACTTCAGAAAGAAAAGTTGTGTCATCTGCATATTGCAGTCGTTAATGAGTCTTCCTCTAATTCTGATGCCACATTTTTCATATAGTCCATCTTCTCAGATTATTTGCTCAGCATACAGGTTGAATAAATACGAGAAAAGGAGTCAACCCTGAAGTACTCCCTTCCTGATTTTAAACCATGCTGTATCCCCTTGTTCTGTTTAAACAACAGCCTCCTGAGCTGTGTTCAGGTTCCTCATGAGCACAATTAAGTCTTCTGGAATTCCCATTTTTCTCAATATTATCCATGATTTGTTTTGATGCACACAACTGAATGGTTTTGCATAGTCAATAAAACACAAGTAAACATCTTTCTGGTGTACTTTGTTTCCAGCCAAGATCCATCTAATATCAGCAATGATATCCCTCATTCCATGTCCCTTCTGAATCCAGCTTGCATTTCTGGAATTTCTCTGTCAATATACTGCTGTAATTTTTATTGAATTATCTTCAGTAAGATTTTACTTGTGTGTGGTATCAATGACATTGTTTGATAATTTCCACATTCTTTGGGATCACCTTTCTTTGGAAAGGGTACAAATATGGATCTCTTCCAGTCAGTTGTCCAGGTAGCTGTCTTCCAAATTTCTTGGCATAGATGAATGAGTGCCTCCAGCGCAGCATCCATTTATTGAAACATCTCAATATGTATTCCATCAATTCCTAGAGCCTTGCTTTTCACCAGTTCCTTCAGTGCATCTTCGACTTCTTCCTTCAATACCATTGGTTCTAGATCATATTCCACTTCCTGAAATAGATGAACATTGACCAATTCTTTTTGGTACAGTGACTCTGTGTATCCTTCCATCTTCTTTTGATGTTTCCTGCATCATTCAATATTTTGGCCATAGAATCTTTCATTGTGGCAACTTGAGGCTTGAATTTTTTTCTTCAGTTTTTTCAGCTTGAGAAATGCCAATGTGTTCTTCCCTTTTGGTTTTCTAACTCCAGGTCTTTGCACATTTCATTATAGTAATTGGCTTTGTCTACTTGAGCCGCTCTTTGAAATCTTCTTTTCAGCTCACTCATCTTGTCATTTCTTCCATTTTCTTTAGCTACTCTCCACTCAAGGGCAAGTTTAAAAGTCTCTTCTGACATCCATTTTGGTCTTTTCTTCCTTTCTTGTCTTTTTAACAACCTTTTGCTTTCTTCAAGGATGAAGTTCTTGATGTCATCCCACAGCTCCTCTGGTTTCAGTCATTGGTGTTCAGTGCATCAAATCTGTTCTTTAGATGGTCTCTAAATTCAGGAGGGATATAATCAAGGTCATATTTTGGCTCTGATAGACTTCTCTTAATTGTCTCAAGTTTCAACTTGAACTTTCATATGAGCAGTTGATGGCCTGTTCCACAATCATTACCTGGCCTTGTTTTGACCAAAGATATTGAGCTTCTCCATTGCCTCTTGCCACAGATGTAGTTGATCAATTCCTGTGTAATCCATCTGGTGAAGTCCACATGTATAGCCATCATCTATGTTACTGAAAAAAGGTATTTGCAATGAATAAGTCATTAGCCTTGCAAAATTCTATCATGTTATCTCCAGCGTCATTTCTATCACCAAGGCCGTAATTTCTAACTACCTGTAATTCTTCTTTGTTTTCAACTTTTCCATTCTAAACACCAATGATAATCAACATATCTTGATTGCATGTTCAGTCAATTTCAGACTGCAGAAGTTGGTTAAAATCTTCAAATTTCCTCATTTTTGGCTTTGGTGATCAGTGAGTAAATTTAAGTAATAGTAGTATTGGAGAGTTCCTGCAAGATGGTGGACTAGGCAGAAGGACTGCACAGACCCTCTTCACCAAAGACAAGGAAAACCAATTAACACAGACACAGAAGAAAATCTTGGAACCCTGAGCCTTGAAAGGAAGGATACAGAAGTGGACTAAACCCCAACTAGCAAAAGAATTTGTGTGAAAATACCAGAAAAGGAGACATATGGAGCTGTGGTCTGGCAATGACCTGAGCGACCCTGACGGCACAGATGGCTTGGACATTTCCAAGTGGTGGAAGGACCTAAAAATTAACCTAAAAATCATCCTGCTAGCCAAGGGACTGAATGGACTGTGCATGGTGGCTGGGGAACAAACAGAGAAGGTGAAGAGAAAGCAACCCCAAGAACATTTGGGGCCTGCAAGACTGAAAAGGTA